CCCCCCCCCCACCCCACCCCCACCCCCACTGCTGCTGTGTCAGCCCTGCAAGCAGTGACAACTGAAGTGGGGAGGGGTGGGCTGAGGCAAGCACTGTTGGCCTGGCCTCTCTTCCTTCCCCCCTCACACTGCCACCTCCAAAGAGCAAGCGGTGAGGGGTGCGAGGTCAGTGGCTCTGGTGGCCATGCAGGGGTGGGTGGGGCCCACTCCATCTTCACTGCCTGGAGGGAGCAAGGCGAGGGGGGTGGTGCTGATGAGGTGCTGGCCTCGCACCCCTGGTTCTTTCTGCTCTGTTGCCACTACCTCCAGGGATGCAGGGCAGGGGGGCAAGGCCAGCTATGCTGGCCTCGCCCCCCCACCCCTCCATCCCCTGTGTCCCCACCATTGTGGCAGCACTCTACTGTGTCACCACCTCCTGTCTCAATGCTGTATCCACACTCTGATTGGTTGTTTCAGTCAGCCAATCAGAGTGTGATAAAGTGTTATGGACAGACAGACTATGGCTTTAATGATATTAGAATGCAGAAGAACTGGATTTTTATTAATGTGTCATAACATTAAATTAGGCAACAGTGTTTTATACCTTGGCTCAAAAACTTAAGTGATGTATTTCCCTTCAGGTGCATTTGTATGATGTGAGATTTACTCTATGCCTATCTACAATTCTCTCAAGTATATCTAACATGCATCCACTTTCAAAAAGAAGTATATCAACCACATGCCTGTCACATTTTTGATGTACCTTTTTACCACTGAATCCAATATTCACATGCATAGGAGTAAATCATTAGATTAAGTCAATGATTGGGTGGATTGATTTAAATCCAGATGATTTTTAAATCAGCCAGAGAAAATCCTGATTTAAATCATTGATTTAATGAAGTTTCCCACTGATACATCATCTATTTCTTAAACAATGGCACAAATCTGATCACTAAAATATGTTAATTTACAACTCAATACACCATTTTATAACATCTGTCCTTAAACACTTCTTTTTTTTTTCTAAATTTTCAAATTTTATTAACAGACAAGTCATCACAACGCTAAGCGTATGTTGTCCTTAACTTCTACAACTAGATCTCATCTTTTCCACTCCCACTATCATTTTTATTCATAGACTGAAACAGAAATACGAGTCTTCCTACTTTTTCAACTCCCGGTCGTTTTTTTTTGTTTTGTTTTTTGTTTTGGTTTTTTTCCCCTCTTAGTTTTGAGTGAATAATACCAAATGAAAATATTCTCTCTGTGCCTGCAGAGGAAGCTGTGAAAAGTTGGCCTAGCAACCGAAGGAACTCTGTTTAAGGTGCCTGACTAACGATTTCCACTAATTCAGGGGAGTGACTGACATCATCAGTAAATATGTACTGTTTAAATGGTTCCCCTGCAGCTCTGAGACTTATTATGACTGGCAATCTTCTGTTCTGAAAATCTTCTGTTTTCCCTTAGGAATTTGGTGCAACTAGCGTGAAAAATGAAGGGGACCTACCGTTCAAAGGTAAAAATAAAATGGGGAAGGGGATATTGCACTGGTATTATGAATAAAATAGTTTAGATGCATTTATATTAACTTACAAAGTTACATGCCCACTGTGGTGGTGTAATAGCCATCCACATTTTATAAAAGTATCTTTCTGGGGGTAAGAACTTCCTTAAAAACTAATTAAAGCCTCTCGGGATTTCTCAGAAAAAGCACTGAAATACATACTGTCTGGACATTTAAATTGAGGTGTAGGGAAGTTAAGGAACTTGTGTGAGACTTTCAGATGGAAAATTATTGGCAGACCCAGGAGTTAGATATTGCAAGATTTGGTTCCCTTATGCTTCTCTTTGGCTGTCAGCCCATATTCCTTCCCTAGTAACTGAGGATTGTTTAATGCTTAAGTGAACTATGATCCAGTAGCAAACAGTAGTAAATAAGTGGTGGTTAGATTTCAGATTCCAGAAGACTAGAAGAAGGCCAATGTGGTGCCTATCTTCAAGAAAGGGAGGAAAGTGGATCCGGCTAACTATAGGCCCATCAGCCTGACTTCTATCCTGGGGAAGACCTTAGAAAAGTTTATTAAAGAGGCCATCCTTAATGGACTGGCTTTCGCCAACATCCTAAGGGATAGCCAGCATGGGTTTGTTGTGGGTAGGTCTTGCTTGACCAATCTCATTTCCTTCTAAGACCAGGTGACCTATCACCTGGATAAGGGAGAAGAGGTTGGTATCATATATCTTGACTTCAAAAAAAAAGCCTTTGATCCAGTATCCCATGATCACCTCTTGGCGAAACTGGCCAATTGTGGCCT